ATTCCATGAGGACTATTAAAACTATTTATCCTCTTATCTCAATAGGACAAACGAAATATTCTCAATAAATTATCAACATCACTTGTCTTCTTTTCATTAGCATGAAGATGATTCAAACTATTATATGCTTAGCTCAAGGAGACAAACAAAATAACAAGGGCTACAGTGAACAAAAAAGAAATGTGTTTTCTGGTATTAGTCCCTTAACTCCTTCATATTTTGAAATTGGTTCCTCGTTAGGCTACTGAAATTGCTATTAGGTCCACCAATTCTTAAGTTATTTTTAAATTAGTTCCCCAAAATCATTGAAATTGCCAATACGTCCCCCAGCTCTCAAAGTTATTTCAAATTAATCCCTTTAACTACTACTTCTGCTCTTGATTCGATGAACTAATTTCAAAATAACTTCAAAATTGGGGGATCTAATAGCAATTTCAATGATTTGAGGGACTAATTTCAAAATATGAAAGATCTGACTAACTATTTTCAGAATATAAAAGATTTATGGTACTAATATCGAAAAAAAATCCAAAAAGATACATATGGCTAATATGATAAACAAAAATACCTTATTAACCACTGCAAAAGCTGCCTGGATCGGTGTCATGTCCTCATAAGGGGTTGTTCCTGTAACCATCTCCCATAATAGTAATCCGAAACTATAGACATCAACTTTCCGTCCATAATGTTTGTGCTTAATCATCTCGGGGGCCATCCACCGGTAAGTCCCAGGGTCCTCAGTAAATACATCACAATATGCTTCTTCACAAGCTATTCCAAAATCAGCAATTTTCACACACGAGTTTTGATCAAATAAAATGTTTTCAGGTTTCAGATCACGGTGAATAATCCCTTGTGAATGAATGTATTCCATTCCTCGAGCAATTTGTAGAGAAATAGCAATCAGTTTCTCTAAAGGTAGCGACTTATGCTCAAGTTTGTGTAGAAATGCTCTTAAGGAACCGCCAGAAAGATAATCGGTTATGATGCAGAAAACTGGTGGATTTTTGCATGCTCCTGCTAGCTGCATTACATTAGAGATTACCATAAGCAGAGAAAGAGATGAAGTCTTAGATACAGAGCAAAATCTTATAATATAAACTCTATGAATTTTACTATCACGGTCGTGCATTAACACAAAGGAATCAGCAAAGTAATATTCATAATAATAAACAAACCTGTAAAGATCATCCAATGACATATTGATCAATTTTACCGGCTAATAAATTTATGCATGCACAAATTCTGGATGGAAATAAGATGATTCAAAGGTGTTATATTTTGCCTATTCAATTTGTTAAAGATGAAGGGTGAGAATATGATGATCATGATTACTACAGTATTGAAACAGGCAAATATGTGAAGACCAGGCAATAACATATTGATTAAATATACCAATTATCAAATTCACGGATATGCAATCTGGAGATGAGATGAACTGAGGCTGCAATATGTTTGATTATTCAATTGGTTTAAGCCATGGATATTTTTTTTTTTAATTGGTTTTATAGAGATATTTTTTTTAAGCCATGGATGGAGAGATGAACAACATTCTAAATAATTGAATTCTTAATATCAAAGATTCATTAGTGAAAATACTTTCTATAGTACACAGCAATGAACGCTTAAGAGAGTTAAAATAGAGCAAAATATTATCAGCCATATTTAAAATGATGCAATTACTACACATTTATGCACTCAAGATGCACGATAATATATTTAAAAAAATGAATTTCTCAGTGATCAGCCTAATGATGTAAAGGGGGTAGAAAATCAAAATCAAGAAATATAACAAACAGGGGTACCTTGATAACGTTGTTGTGATAAAGATGGGACAGAAATGTGACTTCTCTATAAAACTGCTTCTCCAACCGAGCCGCCATTACTCCATTTTCATCATCATCAGGTTGCCGAATAATTTTCACTGCAACAGGTCGATCCTTATACATACCATGATATAACTTGCTATGAGCTCCAGATGCAAATCTAAGCCCTATATACAATTTCGAAAGATCAACCATCCATTCATCAGTGGTCTCCAAAGCAGTAACTCTCCCTCCACCATGATCAAAGTACCTAGACCATGAATTGTCTTTCTTCATCTTCGACTTATCAGTAGCTTTCAATAAAGACAAATGCTTCATAGGGCTCAGTTCTGAAATCGATCTTGAAGCAGGCACACGAGAACTTCCATTTCTACTAGGAGGAGGGGTGGAAAATCTCTTGCCTATGGACTTAGCTTCTTTAAAAACATCGGAAAGTATAGTAGTAGGAAGAGGGGACAAAGACCTCTTGGGTTTAGAATTCCTCCCATTTCTATCGCTATGCATACTGGATTTATGAGGGTCTGGACCCGATTTACCCCTTAAATAAGGATTGGGGACCATGCTAGAATCCGACCACTTTGAACTTAATTTTGAACTTCCATCAGTATTGGAAGACGATGTACCACTAAATTTATGAGAATTCAAATCCGATTGCGTCCTTAAAGAAGGTGTTGGAACAATGGCAGAATCCGCCCAACTTTTATTAGCATGAAAAGAGAAATTACTAGATTGGTTTGACTCCATATCCAATTTTCCCCTCAAAGAAGGAGTTTGACACATATTAGAGCTCATTCTTGAACCTCCACCAGGATGAAAAGAGAAAGCAGAAGTGTCTAAGCTCGGGGGCTTCATCTTTGGCTTCATTCCCAAATCACTGCATGAACTGGAATAACCTACATTTAATTCCTTCGCCTTGGATCCCGGATTTCGATCAGACTGTGTAAACTGTGAATTTTTCTTGGAAAGAGATTCTAAACTTGAGCTCCTTAGTTTCAACTCTGAACTTAAAGTCTTCGCCTTTTGAGAACCCAAAGCCTCTGCACTTGGTACATCAATTTTCGATGATCTCAATTCTTGATTGGGTTGTCTGGGCAGTGAAACTGGGAGCCTATCTAAATCGAACTTTCTCGGCTTTGATTCCAAGCTCAGACTCTTTAGCTTCAACTCAGAACTACGAGGTGATTGAGGGGAGGAAGGACTGCATGTTTCTCTTGTAGAACGCGATCTCAGAAACATTGTATGCGAATACTTTGTCCTTCTCACCCAAGAACTGCTCTCTTCCTCCATTTCGAACTGCCAACTGAAACTCAAAATTACAACAATAAATCCAAAACCCCTGAAAAATTGGTGGATTTCTCAATTAGAGAAACTTTGATGACAAAAACCCAGATCCCAAAACACCAGCAATCGCAATATGGAAACACCAACAGCGCGAGTTTTCACTAGCTTCCATCCAAAAATATCCCTTCTCCGAATCTAAAAGTATAAAGAACCCACAATCAATTCAATGAATTTCAAACAAACCCATCACGGTATTTAACCTCATTGACACAAAAATCTCGTCAAAATCTGACCTTTTTCGTTTTTTAAGAAAAATACAAAAAAAAACCATCACGGGTTTCTCATGGGAGATTAAAGTGGGTACAAGGTATCACCAAATAAAGAGACGCAGGCTAGAACAACGGAAAATAGAAACTAATACAAATA